CCCCCAATCCCCTTCCCCACCTCTCTCTGATTGAGCGCATGCCGCAGAGAAGCGACACGCCCCCTAAAGTCTCGTGCGCCTCTTCTAGAGTTACTACGGCAATCACGTAAAATCGTTGCTTGAGAAGAGGGCGGGGCCTTCCCGTCGATCATCTGCGGCTTTGTTGTCGTGAGAAGCCGAGCTGCACCTGTCCCCCTCCCGCAGCTCTCCGTCCTACCGACCCGGCCTCCAGGAGCTCCAGACCGCCGCGGGGCTCCCCTCCGCCGGCTGCAGAAGCAGGGGCGGCTCGGTTGGTGAGACGGAGAGCCGCGGGAAGTGGTTTCATCATTTCCTCCTTATTTGTGTTGTTTACCGCGTCACTTACATAAAGGAGGAAAAGGCCGCGTTAATGTCGGAGCTTCAGTTTAATCTGAGCAGGAAGAAGCACTTTCACTTCCGGCCTCAGATCCACGAAAATGCTCTTAAACACGTCGCGAGCCCCATCGTAGCAGAGCCACAGTATGGAAGCTCATTCGTGACGAGATTTTTCGAGCATAAGAAAAAGTATATTTTTTAATTAATTCTTAAGTTATTGTTAAAAATGCTGCTTCAGTTTAACTGACGGGGAAGATAAAAAATTAGTTGTTTTTTTAATTAAACTTTTAAAATTAGAATTATGGAAGAAATAAAGTGAAAGGTCAAATTTTTAAACAGTTTCTTTAAATTGTTTTTGATAATAGTTAATTCTAAATCTTAACATAAATAATAATTCAAACAACTTAATTTATGTTAAATTTGTTTTGGAATACAAACAGCAGCACCATAAACAGACTTTAACTTAAAACTAGCCTCACGAATTCAAAGCAGGGCTTAAAGTCAGAATTAATTAACCGAAATTAAAAAAATTTTTAATTCAAAATGTTTAGAGACATTTTTATTCCACTGATTGGGTTTTAAGTCTGAATTAACAGTTAGTCTATGAAACTATAAACATCACTTTAACACAGAAACATGGAGGTTGTTTCTGAGCTGCTGGTTTCTTCTTCACTCTGAGACCACAGAAACCTCAGATCGCTGGTGGAGGATGGCGCTCACCAATAATTCATAAGTCCTTCTCAAAACAAACCCATCTGCTGCTTTCTCCTGTGATGGGAACAAAAAATCAATTTCCTCTTTGTCAGCATAATGCCAGCTGTGACAGATGTGCTTCATCTGTTACGCTTGTGTTTGTGCAGGAGGCAAGCACGCCAGCTCCGCCTGCAGACACAACAGAGGGAGAATTAACCCTCTGACCGTCAGACTTTAGCTTCATTAAAGCCACAAGCGTCAGACTTCAGGAGGCGGAGCTTCGTCAGATTTATTCCTAACAAACTGAGAATGGAAGTTAGAATTGAAGAACGCGCCCACCAACACTTCACGGTCCATGTAATCCCACTTTTTCCTGCCTTTGAGTTTAGTTACTTCCTGAAGTATCTGCAGCCTAATGAGAGTGGGTTTAATGAGGGAAGGACAGAAGGAGGAAAAGAAGGATGGAAGGAAGAAAGAGAGGAACAAGGATAAGAAAATGGAATGACGGAAATCAAGGATTAAGGGAAAGAAGTTAGAAAACAGGAAAAGAAGGAAGAATTAGGGAGGAAAGAAAGGAGTAAAAGTAGAAAGGAAGTGAGGAAAAGGGGAAGGAAAGAGACGAAACGAATGAAAGAAAGAAAGGAGAAGGAAAGGACAGATGTAGGGACGGAAGGAGAGAAGAAACGTTAGCAAAGAAGAAAAAAAGGACAGAAAGCAGAATTAAAGAAGGAAGGAATCAAGAAAGGAGAAAAAGAAAGGAAGGGCAGGAAGAAGGAAGGATGGAAGGACAGATGAAAAGCATGAGAGAAAGAAGGAAGCATAAGGACGGTAAATAGAATCATGACATAAGTAGGAAACTTTGGGACTATTGACACATTTCTTTCCCTTTTTTACTGAATAAGGAGCTTCAGTGCTTCTTTCATTACCTCCTTAGGGTAGGTAACACTGGAGCATCCTTTATGAAAAGAGAGGACATAATGACATCCCATAATTCATAGTGTAGCTGATGGTGAGCGAGGTCAGAGGACTCGGTGGGACGGGGTCGGCTCGTGGAGACTCCTTCCTCCAGCTTTATCTGCCCGGCCGCGTTCACATATGAACTCTTGCCTTTAATTGTCTCCATTAGCAGCCGGAAACCCGGAGGAGCCGGGCTGTTTGGGCCTCTTTTCTCTCCGGATCATTTCTGACTCTGAGACGAGCGTTCCCGGGCCGGTGTCCAAGGCACACGCAGTAAAATCCCTGTAACTACAGGAGCCGAGCGCACATAGGCCTCGTAAAATAGAGCGGGCCCCTCGCTCCACATCAGCCATGAACTCTGAGAGAAAGACGAAACTTTGACTCATGGCCGTGAGGAAACGTGGAGAAACCAGCCGCCGAGTGACGGATGTTCAGAGACGGGAAAAAATGAAGTGCAGGAGCCAAACAAGTTTAGAGGTTAGCCTTTGTTACCATTGGCTCGGTGCTCGGCCATTTTTAATGGCTGTAACTCCATTACTGTTTACACCAGGGAGGCAACTCAAATTGTTCCCAAAACATGAGAATTGTTTTGTAATTTTACAACCAGTCGACTGGATGATTCTGTTGAAGGGTTAAAATGATGATGAAGAGCTGACATCTGGTCCGTCTAATTAATACTTACTTTAAATATTAAAATAAGTTACAGTGTTATGATGGTTTTAGGAGTAAAGGGAATAATAAAACCTTTTCTTCCAAGTCTATTCAAACATCTTTAAACATTTTAAAACATAAAAAACACATCTGGTTAATGAACTGTGAGGCTGTGTTTGCTCCTCTCAGACTGTCAAACAGTGCTGTAGTATAAGGAGAGGAAACTCAGTTGAGCTCTGGGACCAAAGCTCACGCACTCAGTTTCATTTCTGGCTTTTAAATTTCTGGCTTTGCCAGACACATGAACTGTGGAAGTGAAACAAAAGATAAAAGAGGAACGATCAGTGCAGAGAAGGCCACAGGAAGGGATGGAAACCCCACTGTGTGTGTGCGCGCTCGTCAGGCTGTCTTTGTGAGGACTGGTTTCATTTTTAGTCCTTACAGGGACGATGAGTCCAGGTTTCACATTTACGGAGCTGCTGTCCTCACAGAGATGGAAGAACACACACACACACACACACACACTGCCCTTCAGCCTCCTCCAAGGTGAAAGTCTGCTGCAATGTGACAACAGACCAGCAGGGGGCAGAAGAGACAGCAGAGAGACATCAGGAGGAGGAAGTCTTCAAAGGACCTAAAACTGTAATCTTTGGAGTATTTTTACTTTTTCTGAATTCAGAATTTTACACGTTTCTCCGTCTGTTTTTTACATTTTTTAAATTTCTTTCTTCCTTTCATGTTTCTTCTCATCTTTAAAGCTGTATCGTAGGAGGACAGGAGGATGTTTAGCAGCTGTGATTTAACTCAAACATGGTGAAGTTTTAAAAAATAAAACTTTAATATTCTTGTAAAAAATCCCACTTTTCATTTGCTCTTTTTTTTAAAAGTGTCTCTTTGGCTTTTTCCATGTTGCCCACCATGTATTTGTTTTTGTTTTTTAAAGGTGTTTTCATATTTTTGATGCAGTGTTAAATTGTAATTTTTGTAATGTTTTTACATTTTTGTTTCTGAAGTTGTTTGAAGTCCTGTTGGATGTTTCATAAATATTATTAATTTAATTAGTTTTTAAATTAATCTTTACATTTAAAAAAACAAACAAATAATTTAATTAATTAACATCTCCAGATTGTTCCTGTTAAAAGGGAGTTCTTCCTCCCCACTGTCACTGAGTGCTGCTCGGGTGGAATCGTCTGATTGGTGGGTTTCTCTCTGCCATTGACACTGAGGTGACTGTTGTTGTGAATTGGTGTAGAAACTGTCATCACTTCTTCAGGAAGTTGTTTTTGTGGTTTCACAGTCGTGACAACAGTTTGACTACAACTGCAACTTTTCTGCTGAGTCTGTGCACACACACACACACACACACACACACACACACACACACACACACACACACACACACACACACACACACAGCCTCCTGGTCTCCTTCACTCCTATAAGGCTGCCGTGTGTGAAGAGCTCTTACAAACAAGCTGTGTTGTTCAGTCTGTTTCTAATTGTGTTGCCATGAACTTTAACCTTTAACCTTTGACTGAGGCCTGTGGAGTCTGAGATGGAGCTGACCTTTGGGCTTTAACACACCTGACCTGCAAACTGCAGAGGTACTCACTCTAATGATGATTAGTTATGAGAAATACAGAAAGGTCAAAGGTCGCAATGTTTCAGTCATTTAATTGAATTATTAATCATCCAGTAAGAAGGGAATTAATAAAGTGAGTATAAATGTTATGATTATTGCAGGTTGAGACTCCACAGCTGATGACTTGAACAAATCTCAAAGTATTTTCTAACTAATAACTGTAGAAGCGTCACGTTCAGGAGGTTAGTGAGGCAGAAATCATTCAGCGATGATCAAAGGCAAAGGACGGATATGGTTCAGACACATGTTTCACTAAAAACTTTACACCTTGTAGACTTAACAGAAATATTAGATTCCCAAAAGAATGGAAAAGGCAGAAGTTTACAAAGGAGGGGACGATGGTTAGACTGTGTCCCAAAGTCAAAGGTTCTTTGGGTGGTTCTGGCAGTGCGATCGGTCGTCCACCACCAAACACTTCAGCCCAGAAAAGCTGAAACTGCAAACGGATATTTTGTCGAACACGTCAAACACTGAAGAAGTGCGACACTTTCTTCACTGTGTGGAGGTGTGATCACGCAGCCACGTCTGGGTTTAAACGCTGCTCCTCGCACAGCAGACTTCACTGATCGCCATCATCAGCAGGTCAGCCGCCTTTCTCATTTCTTATGTTTTTAACGCTAATGTAACTTTAAATATCTAAAAAACACAGAATTATTTTTACTTGTTTTCTTTTAAAAAATCTGCATCGTATATGTCAAAGTTATAAAATGTCAAATTGGCTTTTATGTGACAGAAAACACAGGATATAGACAGAAATACAAAAATGAATTCAAATAAAATGTTTAAATGTTGTTTAAAACTTTACATTTAAAACAAATAGAAACATTATTTTTTTAATATTTTCTCATGAAAAATGTAAATTCTGAAATTTTCATTCACATTTATATATACGATCTGTTTATATATAGATCGACACAGATGTCAGAGATCAATGAAATTGCTGATTTTGTATCTGAATCGTGTTTTACGTGATGTCATATCCTGCTCTCATAGAATAAATGATTATATATGTGTGTCATCTGCACACGTAGCTGATCACACACGCAGAAATGATGGTGTGAGAAAGTCTCGATTTCCTATTTTTCGTATGTTTTTCACACTTTAATGTTTCACATCTTCAAACTCATCATAATATTGAACAATGATAACAAAGTAAACACAAAATGCAGTTTTAAAAGACGATTTCATTCATTAAGGGAACAAACATATCAAACCTACCTGCCCTGTGTGCAAACTGCCCCCCAACCCCGATGGCTGTTCCCCCCGCGGCAGCAGCGGCTGCAGTCAGTTATTCCTTCAGTGAGTTTTTCACGTCACTGTGGAGGATTTTTAGCCCACTCTTGGAGGGTTTTCCAACACGAAGCATCTCAGTCTTCTAGGCCAAACCCTTCATGTGGGCTGGCATTCTCTTTTTTATTGTGGAATGACGACCTCTGACCTTAAGTGTTCCGGGTTCCTGTTGACTTGGAATTATTCTGCAGCATGAATTATGATCGACCCGTCCAGCCCGGGTTGTCTTTGTCTAATGTTGAAATGTGCTTGCTGATCTGAAACATGTAAGCGATTGACTTTCTTCTTCCTCCCAGCTGCGATGCTGTCCTCCTTCCTCCTCCTCGTCTTCCTCCCTCTCTGTCTGGGGTGTCAGACCAGCTCGTTCACCGAGTGTCAGAAGGTCCCCTTCGTGCCGGGTCACAATCTGGTCGGCGAGGGTTTCGATGTGGTGAAGCTGCAGACCAGCGGGGCCCTTGTGGTCAACGTGAAGGACTACATGGTGGGGGGTGCTCAGGGGAACTGCACCGTGTGCCACAACCGCCTCCTCAACCAGGTGCCTCCCCTCCCAAAGCTCTTTCAGCAGTTTCAGTCGTGCCGCTGCTGTTTCTGCTCACTCACAGAGAAATGCTGTCCTCCTCCCACAGATCCAGAAGCTGCCCGTTTCAGTGCTCGACTGGCGCATCAAGGTCAGCACATTCACACGTTTTATTTATGCAGACAGCTTATGTGAACTATTAAAACTGACTTCTTGAAAGAAAAAATTATATTCACATCTATTTGATGTCATTCTCGCACTGTCAACATGCGTTTGCATGACTGACTTCATTCTTTAAACTTTGTTTTAAATATTTCAAAATAATTCGCACAATAATTCCAACAGGGTTAAAAAAGTAATTAAAATGTACGACATGTGCTAACACAAAAATATGACACAACACAGAGTCTGATGACACTTCCTTTTTGTTGTTGTAATCTTACAGATTTCATTCTTAATTATTTTCTAAATCGATCGATGTTTAAATGAAAGCAATAAAACCAAACAAAGTTTAGGTTAATGTCTCTAAATATTCTTATTTCCTCAGCTTTCACATTTCTGCTCTTATTGCATTTGGTGTCAACTTCTGCAGAAATTCGGGTTCTTCATCTTAAGCACTGACGGCAGCAAAGGTCTTTCTGTCCAGCCAGCAGCACTCCGGAGCTCCTTACCAAAGTAATGCAATAATCGTTTGCCACATCATAACCACGTTCAGGATTCATATGCAGGAACTGCTTCTCAAAGTACAAACAGTCACCTCTGCTGGCTTTGGCCTCCATACGCAAGTGCCCCAGAAGATTCTCATCAGACATCGGAACGCCGTTCAAATCGTAACGTTTTGAAAATGCCTTCAGATGCTTCCTCCTCGGCTTGTGGCTGCACTAAACGTTGTCAGGGAGCTGATGTGAAGCACATGTAAAACATCACTATTGTCTCGACTTTGGTTCAGCGTCTGCTGATGTCCTTGGGATGTGTTCAGAGTAAGATCTGATTCTTCCCTGTGTCTTACCAAGTTCCTTGGAGGTGGTTCATATTCCGTGGCCACGGAGTTTCACAAAGTGCAGGTTGCTGAGTGTTTCTTTTCTTTCTCCAGCTGTTTCTGCTTTGCCTGCTGGAGTTCTTACTGGACACACAGTGCTAAAATCATCACCAGCCTCAGTTTGACCTTTACAGGTGATGACACAACTGACACCATCTTCATCGCCACCCCGTGTCATCAACCATTTCAGTACATCACTGATGAAGTCACTCTTTATAATCTTTCAACATCCTCACCATGGAGTACATGAAAGGTCCTGACCCTGTTAAGCATCCTTCCTGCCCCACTGAATCCTAAATCCATGGCCACCTTGTTCAGTTCCTTCGGCGTCTCCGTGGGAGCTAATCAACAATTGCCAACCAGCAGCTTCTGTTGCCCCGCAGACCAACACAAATCCCAATGCTAATGAGGACACGTGTACAAGCTTTCTTTTAGTTTTTACATATGAGCTCAAAGCTGAAAGCACAAAGCAAAGATGAACATCAGCCCAAAGAGACTTCAAAGAGGTTGCCATGGTGATTTTACAGTGAACACTTAAACAGGTAGAAACAGAAGCTGCAGGCTGATCATCACTGCCTTTGTTACCTGTTGACCTTCAGGCTCTGGCTGCTGTGCTCGGGTCTGCATGCATTTATTCTTATGTTCACTGTGTTTTCTTTGCTAGCTTTGTGTTAGCATGTGTCTGTACAGATGTGTTAGCAGTGTAATCCAGTTGTTTCTGTCCTGCAAGCTGTTTCCACTTTACAGTCACTTGTCTCTCTAACTTGAAGAAGTTATAACATAACAGAAGTTCTAGCCAACCCCCTTTTCTCCTCTTTGGAGAGTAAACATGGTGTTTATGTCGACGTGAACAGCATCACCCAGCGTGCTCTCTGTCCTCAGGTGCAGTGCGAGCACAGCCTCAGCAGCAAGCTCTTTGAGTCCAGCCAGTCAGTGATGAAGGAGAGGAGTTCATCGCTGGGAGTCAGCTGGAAGGTTGAAGAGTTTCTGACTTCAGCAAATAACACACACAAACTGCATATAAAAGATGGACAGACGCCCATTAAGCTTGCATTCTATTAATGTCCAGCAGGGGGCGACCTGAGCCTGGGGGAAAACCCCCACAGATAACAGGGTGGACAGGACATAACACTGATAACACACCTATGAATATTTACTCCACCCTAAAGTAATTTGATTTACATTAATCAGATGAAATGCTGCTTCAACTTCATGTCCCAGTCATCCTAATTCACACTGTTTAAGAAAATTATAATCCTGTAAACGTTTAAAAGTTTCCAAATTCAAAATAATATATAATCCCAAAACTTTTTAATAACACTCTCTCATATTTTCAGCAGTCCTTAATTATTTTTTAATTTTAAGTGTTTTATGGACACTTGTATTAACATTTGGCATATATTTAACTTTTAAATGAAATAAAGATTATTATGATAATTACTGATTTCCTAGTTTTACATTGGTTGTATCGGTTGACAGGGAAACCATACAGTTGACTGACTGAATTAGGCGATTAATAATAATAAAGAGAGAGCTGCAACACTTTTTTTTATTAGTATTATATTTTTATGTTATAATAAAACACTCGTGTCAGCATCAATCTCTTAACAAAATGCTCAGTTTAATTAGAGGCGATTAGAGGATCATCAGGGGTCCTTTGTCCCTCTGTGGGGGGAAACTCCCACTAGGTTTATATCTGGGACTCTCCACCATTTGACCTTAGAACTGAAGAAGCTTCTCGGATGAGAGGTGAAACGTCTTCAAGCAACTTAAAGAAGTCCAGACGCTTTTCTTTGCAAGCTCCTTTGACTACGATGACCTGGATGACTGAGAACCTTCACAGACATACGCTCAGTTTAATTATTTCAACAGCTTTCAAATTAATCACAAACTGAGCACTTTAATTTTAATCTATTCTATGGTGGTGGGGGGGGGGGTAATGGTGTAAGACAAGTTTTAGGAAATAGATATTGGTCCATTTTTGAACAAAATACACTCACTTTGTCCTGGAATACAAACTCCGAGTCTACCGCTCACGTGATCTCTGAGCTCAGTAAATTCTGATGGTCTCAGTCCAGCACTGCGGTCATGGTTAACAGAAATATTGGACTATGATTTTGAAGTAAAACATAGAATCAACACGTAAATCAGATCAAAGGGACCACATCAAACTCTTCGCTTTGCTCTTCCCTGGAAGTTAAACACGATCCTTGCTTATGCTAAATTCTCTTGTTGATGTTGATTGCAACACTCTCTGAGTACCATGTCTCATGTTTCTGGTATACCTCTTCTCAGGTGGGCCTCGGCATTAAGGGAATTGCTGGTGTCGCCATCGGAGGATCTCACTCCATGTCATCAACGTTTGCAGAGTCTCGCAGCCGGAGTGATAAGTTTAGCTTCACTAGCCACGAATTCAAATGCAAATACTACACGTGAGTTTGATTCTCTCGTCCTGACGTCACCTATCCAGGTGACTGCTTGTGTCGGTCCTGAAAAGGTGTCCCTCCTCTGTGCTCCTGTGTGGCTGTATTCTTGCATGCCTCAGTCAACCATTACCTTCTTTACCGTCAGCTTCCGTCTTCACTCCCGTCCCCCACTGAGCAAAGAGTTTGAGGTCTCCCTGAAGAACCTTCCCTCCACCTATGATCACAAAAACACCTCCGCCTTCCGTCAGTTTATCTCCATCTACGGGACCCACTTTATCCGCAGAGTTCAACTCGGGGGTCGGGTTCACTCCATGACCGCAATCCGGACCTGCCAAACCTCCATGTCTGGACTGTCAATCCAGGCTGTCAGCACCTGTCTGTCTGCCGAAGCCAGCGCAACCATTAAGGGCATCCCTGTTCACGCCTCCAGTGAGTTCTGCCGCCGGAAGAGCAAGAGCCTTAAAACCGCTTCAACCTTCAGTGCGGCCTTCTCCGACAGGAAGACCCAGGTGCTGGGCGGAGATGGGGGTATAACGGACATCCTGTTCAATCCCAGAGGGTCTGAGGGGTATAAGAAATGGCTTGCGTCTCTGAAGAGTGTCCCAGGAGTGGTTTCCTACCAGATCAGCCCTCTGCACTTATTGGTGAGGAACAAATGAAGGGTAAACTGAGCTGATAAAGTTATTATTTCCCTTTAAATGTCTTCAGATGGTTTTGGTTAGGGTTTGGGTAACCATGGCAGTTTGAGTCATAAAAGTCACGGTTAAAAGAAATCTGACTGCTGACTGTGAATTAAAAATGAAAGTTTGTTTGGGTGACCCATCTCTCCACCCTAACCTCCACCTTATGCCATGTTCACAACTACTTCAGCAACTGGAGGGTGCTGCTGCTCTAAAATATATCTATGCATCATGTGAAGAAAAGCCCAACCAACTCTTGAGTTTTTCTTATTAAAGTGGCGTTTTTTTAATGCTTACATGTATTTTTTTTATTTTGGGCTTTTTTTTATGTGCGATTTATACAAATATGGTTATAGTTTTAATAACAGATTTTAATAGCTAGTTAAATCCCCAAGCATTATATTCTGCTCACATTTTAAAGGCCAAAGCAATGTTTACACAAACTGTCACAATATTCAGGTCACTTTTGTTCTGTCTGCATACAGACACGTGTACAGTTTAAAGATATCAAGTAGAAACTTAAGAGCATCGTTGTTTTTTTTAACCAAATATAACTTGCATCAGTTTAGCTGCCTTTTAGCATCAGTCTGAGCCTCATTCAGTCTGTTGGTTTTACTCTTAATCTGTTACTTTCAGCCTCAACCAGATTATTTAAAAGCTCTATTCTTTTTGTTAGATAAGAGACAATCCCATCCTAAAGGCCAGCCTGCGAGACGCCATCAGTGACTACATTCTCACAAGCGCCAAGCCGCTCCACTGCCCCGTCAACTGCAAGATTGGCCACCGGAAGCAGAACTGCGCGTGCCAATGTCAAGGTCATCGAATGGTTGACTCCCATTGCTGTCCTGCCGCGGCAGGTGTAGCTCAGATGAACGTGACGGTGGTCCGAGCTGAGGCACTGTGGGGCGACTATTTCAGCAAGACAGACGGATATGTTAAAGTTTTCTACAACAACCAAGGAGGCACGACGCCAGTGATCTGGAACAACAACTTCCCCCAGTGGAACTACCTCTTTACTTTTGGAAGCATCAACCTCAAAGAACGAAAGTGAGCAACACTAATTATTACTAATCAATTTCAGTTTCTGCAAGATCTGAGACTTACAGCCACTCTTTGGGTGGTAAACCAAAACCTGCAGTTTCTCTAGCGTTCACTTGAGGTTCCAGCAGTGAGTCAGTCCTCATAGATGTGCATGTTAAAATGTCCAAATCAAAAAGAGCGTGAGGTATTCAAGAACCAAAATAAAAGATTTCCTAAACAGTAGCTTAGAGAAGCACAAGTAGAATCAGGTGATCTCTGATGTAGTGCTTCTGTGTTTCCTCCACAGACCCGTTGTTTTCGAGGTTTGGGATCGGGACAGCATCTGGGACGATGACCTGCTGGGGAAAGTGTCTGTCATCCCCACGATGGGTCGAAACATCAACAAGAAGTTCAAGCTGAAGCACGGCTCAGTGCTGGTCCGCCTGTCTGTCGTGTGCGGTCCCAGCCTGGAGGGGTCGCTGTGCGAGCGCTACATCCCCTCGCCTACCTACCAGGACGTGATGGGATATGCAAAGAACCACCAGGGTTACTGAAACTGGAGGAAAAAGCAGTGCATGGATTACAAAATAATTTAAGAAAATCCAAGCAAGCATGAAATGTTGATGTTATCTCAACACCAGTCGCCAACACCAAACCACAGATGGACAAACCTTTGATTTGTTCATTGTAATGTAGAAATAAAATGCATGTTTCTGTCTCTTTAAACCCAAAACAATTTGATTGATGAGTAATTTGGCCACAAAAAGCCATCTCAGGCAGACCAGTATCACCAGAGGAAAAGACTGAAACCAGTTATGGTGATGTATGAGTAAAATGTCTCATTTGTATGGTGAATTTAACATATCTGGACTGTCACAGGAATCATCCTCTGTCCCCGATATCATTGATATGAAACCTGTTATATGACCTAAGCAGTGTGTAGTCTGTCAGATCAGTGGGGGGACAAACATCCCCAAATGTTGGAATTTTGCTCAATTCTCTCAATCAAGAAGGTTTAAATTAAAAAACAACAACTTAACACAGATTTCCTGTTGTTAGAAAGTCCAAGAAGGACATTCAGCAGACATTAAATAAAAATATCAGATCAGAATCCGAAGGCAGAGAAGGATGTCCAGAAGGCACTCGAGAAAAACCTATAGTAACATTCCTGAAGGACATCAAGCTATGTTCAAGGTGGACATTCAACTAAGATGTCCATTCAACATCTGCCCAGTTTTCCTTTTGGAACCAACATCAGACACAGAGAAAAGATCAGCTGATGGTTACTGAACTTCAAAACGTTTGCTGTTTGGGAATCTTCAGCTATTCCTCTGCGTAGCATCCAGATGTTAAACTTCTCAAAAGTCTCCAAAGCAGAATGAGCTCACATCACGGAAACTCACCAGCAGGTTGTTGTAAAATGACCCGAACACCAACAAAACTTCAAATCCAAATGAGCTTCATCGATACAACCCAGCAAACACATCGATCTCTTGCTGTCCAGTCTGGGTTGAAAAAGGTTCCAAAATGAAAAATGTGCTGATGACAAAGAAGGAATTTCACCATCTGCTGGACATCAAATAACCTTTGACCTGTGACAGTCCAGACATGGTCAGTTTACCATGGCAACAAGTAGGATAGAATTTAGATGTAAGGTAAGCTTAATGGCCTCAAAGTGTGGTTCAAATATAAAAACAGGTTCTGATCACAATCATTCATCTGTGCTTCAGTTCTCGTAGTGATACAGAGACCAGTTTTTACTGGGACGATACCATCGCTGTTCCTACCATGTTTGCTGGGAAGCTTCCCACGGTTGGAGCTTCAGGCTGATATTTGGTGGATTTCCTTTGGTTGTAATTGGTTTTATGAATCAGCTGCATAAGTAAAACCTTCTAAATGTGCAGAAAGTTTTTTAGCCTCTGAATGACTGACAGAAGTACAGGATGGAGTATTTTACAGAGTGTTAACTCCACTTTAAAGCTCACAGAGCTCAAACAGTGATGACAGATGTAATGAAATGGTGAATATTTCAGCCGCTGTCAGCAGTCCTGACTGTTAAACAGTCCGAACACACACTGCTGACAGTGTGACACACAGGCTGCGGTAAACTGTCGCTTACTCACTGCTGAAGACTCCTCAGCAGAACAGGAACAAACACAAATCCAACATGTTTGCAATGACAGTGTAGTACGTCACCAATAAATGACAATAACTGATCAGCTGAAATTACACCAACCTGTCATGTTATGAATTTAGAAGTCTGTTTGTCGGTTATGCTTGAGATTAGAGACCTGCAGGAACAAAACCTATACCCACTGGCCAATCAGATGTCTGGAAAGTAGCGTCCCCCTTCCTGGAAGATCCCTCAGACTTCCCAGTGCTGACAGAAGCTTTCAGTCCGTCTTTATCTGATAAGCATCAGAACTACAGATTAGGAGAAACTTTATTTCTGCTTTTTTCTGTTGGCTGCCATTTTTAACTATTTTAGTCTTCTGTAAGTCCTGATATTTGACCTTGAGCAGGACATTTATTTGTTTTTGCTGAGCTCGTATTAAATTTCTAAGCAGATTAATCCTGTTTGAATTCTGGTTTCTGACTCATCATTTCCAGTGTTGCTGAAGGAAATTTCTGCATTTCATTGTGAAACTGTGTTACGTATTAATTTAAAACCATGAAAGGCGACTTGCTTTATGTAGTCTTAGTCAAATATCAGTGAAGGGAAGTCAGGCAGGTGAGGTGACTCTGCCAGGTGAGTCGCTTATTTACAGAGCTGAAACTCAGACCAGAGAAAACTGCAAAATGAAACAGAAACTGAGAATAACCGGCCCCACCTCTCCTGACCCGAGGGACCTGCTGACTGCCTGCGCAGTCCTGCGAAAGCGTCCATCCTTACTGCTTCCACAAGAATTAAGAGGATGAGCAGCAGCCAGGTGCTGCTAATCAATTGCATTGATTAACCCTTTAAGACCTACCATAGAACCAAGTCCGCCAGAGCTTATATTATATTTTTACATGCTGTGGAGCCATTTTTGGGAGCATTTCAAGTTGCTATACATCAATACAACCATTACAGCCTAAATTTTAATAATATGTCTGCATTAGGTGCATAGTAATTACATAAATTGCAAAAAAGTGCAATAAACTACAAAAAAAATTGAAAATCGTTTGTTTTTTTAACATATATTTGTAGTTAGAGAAATTTAAGAGGCTCATCCCTCAAAACTGTAAATACAAAAAAGTTGCACAAACTAGTTTCCCACCACAGGAAATTTATTTTGAGTGTCTTCATAGTTTTATTTTTGAAATACACCAATTTTTATACACTGCAGGAAAAACGAAAATAAATATTGTAGTGCAAATTTGCAAAATAACAGCATAAGCATCAAAATAAACTATTTCCAGCAGTGCAATATGAGTCCTAAGCATCCCAGAAACGACACAGAAAGTCATAAACTCAAACATAACTTTTTAAAACACAAGTATAGGCTCATAAGGCCCCGATCGTAAAAAAACTACATTTCCACAAAATGACGTCACTTCCGGTTTCGGGCAGGTCATGCGGTCATGTGATAGTTCGCGCTGATGGACGTAGGAAATGTTACAAACAGCTGATCGGATCGGCGAAGCATGTTTCTGGAATATCATGTTTTTGTTGCTGCAAGTGATTTTTATGCAGTTTTTGCAAAGCTATATGTGGAAGGAAACTGTGACAGAGGACAAGCTGATGGCATCAGATGTAAGTACAACTCCTCCGGTTTCATATGCAAAAAAAATTATTGCGCTAGCTTACGTGGTTGCAGAGCTACCGGGATTTAAAAATAGTTATGCAAAATGGAGCGTGCCCGCTCCAATCGGCTGTAAAGGGTTAACTGATCACCATCAGTGTGATCGTCTCTGTAAAAGCTGAAGTTTTTGGCATTTTGAAGGTCTGGAACATTCAGGTGTGTAAACACAATTCCACAATCTTCCTAAGTGTGCAGAAAACCCCAAAACCAGACTCTACAGTTAGCAGGTTAAAGTTCATGACAGCACAATTAGACTAAGGCTGAACGAGGATGGACTGTTTGGGTTGCAGGAGAAAGCAAAAAAAAATAATTACGGCTTCACTTTGCAGAGCTGCACCTGAAGGAAGAAGAAATGAGACCAAAGTGGAGCTGTCTGTTTATAATGCACAGCACCACGTTTGGAGGAAACCAAACACCTCACAATAGCTGTCAGCATGGCGGTGGAGGGATCAGGGTTTGGGCGTCTTGCAGTCACTGAGAGAACTTGGAGAAAACTGGGTCATCAGCAGGACAGAGGTCCATGCACTGCATGCAACCTGGCGAGAGGCTGTGCGTACACGAATGCTGCAAAGCTGAATAAGCTGAAGCAATGCAGCATGGACGAGTGGACCAAAACCCCTCCACAGTGATGACAGAGACAAACCTCCGTCATAAACACCAGACCTGCATGGAGGCCTGCATATACAGTTGACCTGCACGGTCAACTGTATATTATCGTCTTTTCAGCCTCATTGCCATCACTGGTTCAACAGTTAATAGATGATCAATCAATTATGATCAAAACAGGTATGAATCAGTGTGACTCCAGTGTCAGTGTTTCATCAGCAAAGATGATCTAAGATTTATTAAGTGCTCAGATTTTAATCTCGATTATAAAGACAAAGTAAACTTTCAGAGTCGTTTTCCTTTCTGGGGAAGCAACGTTGCCCGAGCGATGGAAAACCACGGCAACTGAACATGTTTACTGTGGTATTAAATTTGTTTTTGTGCCCTGAAAATCTTTGGTCCTTTCATGACAAAATACAGTTTACTAATCACAAATTGACAACATAAACATAAACTGTGCTTGTGGTGCTGACCCAAAAGCAGGAAAACACGACGGGCAGAACTACGGCTGATAGAGGAACGTAGAAACAAAAGGCAACGTCCAAACTACATTATAACCTAAACTGAGGAAGCCAGGATTAACCATGAAAACTGTGAACCTGAACCCAAGCTCGACAATAATCCTGTGACTCGAAGTACACGAGGCTAGAAAAACAAACGACCCGACGCCGAACAGAGGGAGACAGCGGACTTAAATACACAGAAGGGTGATGAGGGAAACACCTGGGAAACACAGCTGGCACAAATGAACCTGATGCCACAAGGGAAGTAAAACTAAACATGCTGAACATGGAAACACAGGACTTTCAAAATAAAACAGGAAACATTATGAAACGTAGACATGACAACACAAGTTTGACAGTAGAACATGGAAACACGCAGACATGACAGACTGGGGAGAAACACAAGGAGAGACATGGGGACAGATAAGGGAGACGAAAGCATAATTACACATTAAACACAGAGGACACGAGAGACTTACACAGAAGACAGGAAAAGACTCATAAACATGAGACATGGAAGAAACACAAACTAGAATAAATCGCTTGAATAAACCCTAACTAAATAACACAAAAACTTAACATTAAAGCAATCTAACATAAGAAAAACAAAAATACAAAATAAACTCAAAACACCAGGTTATAGACCCAACCCCTGAGAAATGAAGACAAACGCTAACGCTGATGTAGCTTCACACAGAGACAGTATTAGCCAGCTAGCTGCTATCTTGGGTATTAAGTACTCTGTTAGCCAACATTAGCCAGAACAAAGACAGTTTTCTCAAACAAAGACCATCAGATTTGATTTTTGTGAACATTTGATTCGTGAAGGAGTTCTTTGATTTGGAGGTTCAAATCCAACCCTCAGCTAATGTTAGCTAGCAGTTGCATGCATGCTAACATGGACAGATTGAGTATCATGCGTCTGAGAAGCTCGATTCATTTTAAAAGACTTTAAACTGGCAGACCTCTAAATGTTCGGTCATCTTTTAGAAGACCCCAGCTGGTTTTTACCATCAGCTCTGTAAGGCCCTCCAGCTCCGTCTCTCTGTGCTCTGATTGGTCAGAGCGGCATGGACTCGTGACTCAGCTCTGACTCACAGCGTTGACCTCTGGCCGACTGAGTCAGGAGGTTCAGAGACCCTCGTTTACATTTAACGGTGGTGCGAGTGAACGTACGTCAGACGTCTGAGATCTTCGTCGTTAAAACACGTCTGCATGCCCTCTCCTGCATCACAGCAATGACCCTGTTTCAGATGTTTACAGTTACAGGGCATTATTAAAACTGTAGATATCTGAAGGCTCAAGAGGCAGCTGGGAGGATGAGGAAGGCCTGCTTCAGAGGTAGAGAAGGACATCCTCAGGTTAGAAGTTGTCGTAGTCTTGATTTAATACATTCTGAATGGGCTGCAGGGTTCGCATCACTGCTTTTCTACTATTGTTTCACAGATTTCCCTGAAAACCACATTTAATGCAGCTCCTCCCTGACTTTTTATATTTTTCATCCTTTTTCTTTTGTTCATGCTTTTAAAATATACAAACTCCACTTTGGACAGTGGTTACTGAAAAAGTTCAGAAGTAGATTTGTGAAGTAGTCAGACTCGAACGTCAAGGAAGGTGGAAGGAAAGCAGACTAGCAGACATTTCAGGTTTCCAGAGGTGAGCAATTTATTTACAGTGAACTCAATTTAATGTGTAACTTAACAAAACTTCCCCCCAAAGTAACTTAATTAACAAAACTCAACAGACCATGGCTCTGTTAACACAGCTCACCTCTCCTCTCTCATCTGAGTCTGGTAGAGACTGGCTTTAAATAGGGCCATCAATTTCCAGCCAGTACCCCTCACTCACACTGAGGAATCTAAAACTCTACACAGATGATTAAAAAAGACACAAAACCTCACACTTCTAATATGCACATTTACACAACTAAATGGCAGTATTAATGAAAAGAAAAAGATTCAACAAATCCCTTCAGACCTGGACACAAACAAAAGGAAGCATCTCCACTTGGTTTGACCTGCTGATGTCATGTGTGACATCATCAGGACTTTAAAATGAGGAAATGCTAAGCAGGCGTTTCCCCACACCTGACCCACGTGAAGACTGAGAAGACAGAACAAAGTATGAACAAATGACTTAATCTGTAACACAATAAAATATAAAGAAGCATGTAACTGAGTATTTACCTTAATTTGCCGAATGTTTAATTTGCCGGCAACAGAACGCTTCCGCAAACAAACCCGAGATAGTGAGTACAGCAATGTTACATGACAAATAGCAAATCATAGCAAATACATAGAAACAGAATAATGTGTATAATGTGCAAATAAAAGGTAAACACATGTGGGACAAATGGAGAGCATTGCAGCTGCTCATCCACTTTGTCACAAGATTAAAATATCAAAAGATGTAAAATTTTAAGAGAAGCAACAAAACAGCTTTAAATCCAAATGAAAGCTGGACGACCAGCAAAGTTCATGAAGGAGTCGGTGAGCTCAGATCATTTCTGTAGCACATTTAAACACAGCTGACGTAAAAGCAATCTAACAATTAAATATATGGTTAGTATAAAAGAAGTAACAATGATAAAGAATAAAAATAATAATAAAAGACACAGTGAGAAGGAAAAGCTACTGAGGGGAAGAAGAACCTTTAAAAGCATTCAAACATTCTGATCAGCTTTTATTTTGAAATTATTTTCCAACAAAGGCTCAAGGTAGAGGAAGCAAACCGCAAACTGTCTGCTTCAGAAATCTGGAGACATCAGCAGCCACAGCGAGGGATTTGGCGATGGCCGAGCCACACCAGTGTCCCGCTGGCCGCTGTGCAGGGCTGGACTGGGACAGAAAATCGGCCCGGGCATTTTGACTAGAGACCGGCCCCCCAGGTATTACAGGAAAAGCCTTTGAATGAAAACAAACGCTGTTGTGACAGTGATGTACTGCCTTGTTGGTATATGTATGATTTCTATACGTTGTACATCAGATAAAAGATTCAGATAATTATTTGTTAAAAGCATTTGAAATGAGAATAAGACAGAAAAGTATTTCTTTGTGCCC